AGCTATCAACAGACTTTGCTGCTCTGATTTCTAACTCAAAAACTGTGACTCCTCTGTTTAATATTTCCCATTGTGAAAAACCCATCAGTGGTCTAAGCCCAGTTCCTAAAAACTTTATGTATATTCTCAAAGTCAAGTACATGATCTGTGTATGAATCAAGTTAAGTAAATGCTTAATGATTTGGAGTCAGAATCTTTATCATGAAATTATGTTGACTATTTCTGACTTCTTCCAGCTGCTACCTATCACTTGGCTTATTTTGTATTCTACCAAGTCTGAGAGCAGAGACAAGGGTGATGCTCAAACCAAAACAAATGTTTCCTGTAAAAGACATTATTGAAACACAGTATTAAATAAACTGTTTCCACAGAAATTTATCCCACTAAAGATGCTGATCAACTAACATCTGTTTATCAGACATACTTGTTATTTATCAGAACTAAGCAGCATTTGAAACCCATCTGAACACATACGTGAGTGTTTTGATCACTGAAAAATGGACAGCCCTTACGATTTTCAAGAAATTCTTTACTAGTATTGACCACTTTTATTTTTTTTAAATCTATCAAAATACGCTTCTATTGTCTGCTACAGGTGGTATATTTTGTTTTTCCTTAATGTGATTTTCCAAATTGTTATTTTAACACATCAAATTTCACTTCACAATGCCAGAACAACTCTAATTCAGGCATCCTTCTCCACAGAGTTGTAACAAGTATGGATCTTTTCTGCAACACCTTTCAAAGTACTTTGCAAGGAAAGCACAAAGCGTCATTCAGCAAACAACTGACAAGTGAGGAGTGGAACGTATCCCCAAACGCTGCACCTGGGAACTGACCTGAGTTTCAAATACCCCAACAAAAAGGGACAGAGAGGGGGAGTCAGAAACCAGTATTTTTTAACTTCTTTTGGTGATCATTTTAGAGAGCAGCCCAGCTCCTCTCAGCAGTTACGCCAGCTCAGCTGAGGGATGCTGACGAGGAATGAAAAAGCATGGGCAGACATGGCTTCTTAGCCAGTTTTGAAAGCAACTTCTCTGCCTCTCTTTGCAATAATAAGTCTTTTTTATTTTGTTTGGGTGTTTTTGTTTTGTTTTGTTTTTAAGTTATAGATGCTGAGATCACCAGAAGTCTCCTTTGGAAACACTGATACTCAAAAGTATCTGCTGAAGAGAACAGCATTACTTGTGAATCTAGTCAGAAGAAGCCTGCTTCAGAGAACTTTGAAAATATCAGTGTCTCCAATTTCTTGCTGCTTTGCAAAAAAAGCCTCCCTCTTTACAGTTAATGAAAAAATAAATCAATTTTGAGAAAAAAAGACTTTTTTAGCCAAAATACTGAAATGCAGTAACCATAGGAAAACACATGAATATATTTAGTAGACACTTCAAAATGATCTTAAGGGGGTGAGGAAAAAGCTGTGCGCAGTTCTTTTTATATGGATTTTCACAGATCATAGGCATCTGCATTCTTTTCTAGATTTAAATGCAAAGTAATCACATGCAAAACTAATGAGACTCGAGATTACCAACACAATCTTTACTAGGTGCACCACTGACACTGTAGATGTATTTTGGGAAAGAACAAGATATTTTGTGTTGTAATAAAGGCATTTTTATTAGAATTAAAATGAAAAGCAGCTGAGGAAAAAGAATTAAAGAAGAGAAACCTTCTTTATTTGCTTGCTTTTTAAACAGGACTTAGAGAATCAGTGGTATAAAATGACAGACTCCTTGGATTTCATAAACACAGGACTACATGGCTGAAAAGGACCTTGCAGGACACCATACCCAGTCTCCAGCTTTGGAAGCCACCATCACATACAGTGCTCTCCACAAATCTACTGTTCATCTTCAGTGGGATTTTTGTCCTACTGCTTCCATTGTATCTGTTTCCCAACTTCAGGTCTCTCTTTTCTCAACATAATTTTCTATATAGCAAGGAACAAGTTTAGGTAAAAGTTTGTTTCCTATAATTTTATGACAGCACTAAGATTCTGGCCTGCAGCTTAACTGCAAACATCTTTTTGGTACTAGGAAAGCATTTGATGAACCACAACTTTAGTATGTGATATATCATAGTCAGCTATCACATAACATAGTAAGCTATCCAGGAGCAATCATCGTTAGCAATTATTTCTTCTGTGGGAGACGTTAAGTGTTCCACTCAGAGAAAAGACAGGCAGCCAGGAAAAGTGAATCAACGTGAGTAGAAAACAGAACCATCCATGATACTATTTGCTTCCTATATTACATTTCAAAAATTGAATTATTAATACCCGTTTTATAGTTGCTTTTTCCACTTTATTTCCCAATGCTGAGGACACTTCAGAAAACAGTCACAATTAAGCAACACATACACACATGTGTACATATGAAATCATGATGTATGAAAACATACATCTTTATCTATCCTAATTAAACCAGGAAATTTCATTCCTCTAGCCTCTCTGTCTGTTCTCCTGTCCTTTCATCCTTCTAAGCTTGTCAAGTTATATCTTTTCACATATATTTTACTACTCTTTTCTCATGGTTTCTGCCCTTGGTTATAGTCACTTATGATACTATAGACACCTAAGCAAATAGGAGGTCTAGAAAAATTTCTGTGTTTTTAATTAGGAGTGATTGGAAACCTGAGAATATGACCAGATCCTTCAACTATCTGTACCATATTTGTACCATAATGTCCTCCAAGCTTCAGTTCAGGGTGGCGCCAGTTGCAAGCTTTAACAGTGTACACTCTGTTGGAAATACACTGCAGAAAATATGCCCTGGCTGTCTTGGGATTTGAGAACAGCAACTATTCTACTGTTTCTACAGGACTACTGTTTTTGAATAAGACACATTAAAGGAATTTAACTGAGGTGGAGTGAGGAAGAATGTGTTGAGAGTTGAGAAAAATATTCCACAGAAGGTTGTGAAAACAACAAAGCTTTAAAATATGAGGACTTGCAATTGAAAGACCAGCTGAAATTCAAGGAAGAAGATGGAGAGAACAAGAGATAGCGAGAAACATAGAATGGCAGAGGTTACACACACACAAAACCACAGTAAAGATTTTGATACTGTTTCTATCCTGTGCTTTTAGCCTGGACCAAAAGTAAGTTCAGCAAAGTCTTCATTAACTTGGTTGATTCACCTACAAGAGGCCACACACAATCCCTTTCATCAGCCAAATATACAAGCCTCCCTACAAAAAAATGTATAAACACTGATTATTGTTGAAAAAAGTAAGGATATCAAAATTATCCAGCATAAACTCCAGAAAGGATTTGTAACGCTTTGCTACTAACAAGGAAAGCTCAGTTTAGCAGCTTGTCTGAGCAAATAAAGAGAACCCTCCTATTTAGCAAAGCAAATATCCAAGAAACAAAAAACCAAATTATTTTAGAAAAGATCTATTTAAGAGTTTAAAAAAAAAGCATCTTTCCCAGTTTAAGGTATATTCAACATACAAATAAATAACATGCATTGCCTGACTGCAGGAAAAACATATTAACATTTCAGGTTCAAATCTGAAAGGTGAATGAGCCACTTAAATCTGTATTTATGGCAAGGTCTTAAATTAACACTTTACAAAATGCCACCCTACAACTCCAATTCTAAATTCAACCATTAAATTAAATACCAAAAGGCCTCTGAAATCCTTATTAATCTCTTCTCCAAGACTGACACTAAAAGGATAAATGAAATTTTTAAAAAACATGCATTATTCTAAACGAGGATGCACTACTCTTTCTTGAAAGCACTTCAAAGACACATTTTTTCCAAGGGAATACTAAAAAAAAAACTATAAAAATTGGAGACTGAACACTGATTCACTAGGATTCCAAGTCACGCATGAGGGCAATGCAAGCATATTTTCCCTTTTCTCTCCTCTGCGAAGGAGCGTGTTATTGACTTCTGGTGAGTGATGAGTAAGCTTTAGTTTTAAAACCACTGTAAGGTGAGGGGCATGCATAGCACACTGCAAGTTTTAGATACCTGCTTTGAAACACCTCATCCACACATGCGGCAAAAAGAACAGAAAATTTATCCAGCATAACAGGTAAGAGATAAAAGATGCAGCACCCACTGCTAAGTCTAAGACTGAGGAAGAAATTTTGTCTTCTCTTATATATGAGCAAAATAGTGCTTCATTTTCTCATGCAAAATCCATAAACTTTCATTTGACCATGCACTTCAACACTTGCCAAAGAAGTCAAATTTCAGCAAGGTGATAAGCAATAAATAACAGGTTCTTACTGATTTTTTTCCAGTCTCTTCACACATGCTTTTTTTTCTCTCTGTGTATTATATATATATATATATGCAAATATGCAAAAAAAATTGTAACGTTCTGTTGCTTCTTAAATTGCTTTCAAGAGCTGAAAGAAGGTATGCAATTTTGAATAGTCATATGTAAAAACCTGATGTGATCGTATTATTTTAAACTGAACTAAGGTTTTAATGCTCTGACAAACATTCAAGTGACCTTTCATGATTTTTCTACCTCATTCAATGGTCACATTTCAACAGATTCAAAACATCAGTCTACAAGACTGCAAAACACGTGAAGTTGTTGAATAGGAACTTCAGTTAAAACTGTCACTCCTTGAAAAACACTGGCTGTTGAGATGCACATGAAAAAAGACTCATTACAGTAAAGGATAGTACAAGCTGTGGAAGATGGTGTAAACTTGGTTGTTAAATTACGGGAGATGGAACTAGGACTGAGAGTCATGGTTTTTTACTTGGAGAAATAGCTTATAGACAGAGAGGTGGCTAGAATAACCAAAATCACAATGTCAGAGATCCAAACCAGCAGCAAATAAAAATACGAGTTGAAGGAGAAGGAGGTTCTGAAAAATGTAATTTTTTAAAAATTTTACATTCTCAAAATAATTTTACTTTGGAAAACCATTTCAAATATGTCCTTTCCCAGTGACTGAAGTTTTTTCATTCTTTTATAATATTGTTTTAAAGGCACCTGTCTCAAAAGCCTTAGCAGACATTTCTTACCTGTGTCCCAATAGTCTCCTGGAAGCAGCGCCCAAGCTGAGTTTTAACTGAAACAGGAAACATGTGAGGAATGGGTTGTTGATTTGTGTAAGCAGTTTGTCCTTTCTGGGTCTTCTGATATGGAAGACCTTGGTAAGACACCTGTGGATGTCCTGGCTGAGGTACTTTCGCTTTCTGTCCTGTTGATGTGCTGTCAATTCTTGAAACTTGATGGATCTGAACTGAGGCTTCAGGGGGATGTTTCACATGGATATTCACTATGTTAGGAGGGAACTTCACTAAAATAATTGAAGGAAAAACACGTAAGAAAAATTGGTAATAAAATATGTCCAAAAAAAGATATCTTGGGCATCTCTGAGATTTCTTTTTTGGACATTATGATTTTTAAAGAATGCCTTAAAGTGACTGAAATATAAATGAAGTCCAGATTTGGGGGTCAGAGGGAAGGCTGAAAGAACGCATAGTGACTTGTTAACAAAGCAAGAAGACAAAACCTCTTCTTACAGGAAAGAATGACATTATAAGATTGTAAAGACTACTACATAAACATGGACGTCCAGATTGGCTGGTGTGACATTAATATTTGTGGTCATACTGGGTAATAAGAATCCCACTCAAAGTTCCAGGATCCAAACTCTACTGGGTTATTTTTGGATATATAGTAAGCTTTATTTTCTTTTTCAGATCCATCATCTTTCTCTGGAACACAGAAGCAGCTTCAGATTTCATCCTTTCACCTTTATATACCCGCCAAGTCCCTTCCAACAGTTGCCAGCATCTCAACCATCTAAAACCACCACTCCCCTCACTGAACTTCAAATTCAGGATTTGGCAGATAAGGAGGGAGGAAATGTTTTTCAGATACTTCCATATTTAAACAAAGTTGTAGTTTTAAGCCAGGGTATATAGACTGAGACCTTGCAGTCAATGTAATGTGCACACAACTGTTTACGAGCCCCAAGCCTCTTTTCACTGAAAAACAAAATGCTCTTTCAACATGTAACTCAAATCATTTTGGGGAGGGGCAGGTAGAGTAGAAGTGTGTCAAAACTTTTATAGTTTGCAAGCTGCATAACAAAGTTAACATTTACTGTGTCTGGCTGGATCTCCCACATCAGCAAGTACTGCAGGGACTACTCAAGGACAGCCAATCCACGAGATGTAACACCCCTTCCAAACACCAAGAACCAACAAATACCACTTGACATACTTTCTTTACAACACATACTGGTTACTGAACCTGCTGAATTGTCTCCTTGCCTCCAGGAGGCCAGACTGTTCTTTGGAAACAAAGAACTGTTCTTTCTGTAGTAGAAAACAATCTTCAAGCAGTATCTATGCTACATGAGTTCTGTTGCTAGCAAACCCAAAAGGGAAAGATTCACTGTTACAAGCAGAAGCAGTAAGGCCCTTCTCAGGCGATTAGACTGGTTTTGCAGGGCAAGACAAGACAGCCCAGTCTGGCTGTGGAAAGAACAGAATTCACCCCAACTTACTATTGTATATTTTTATATATGAAGAGGGATCCCTTCAACTAATTTCTCCAGCTGATCAATCTAAAGAACGTACTAGCCCTCAAAGAAATTAAATTGTTCTGCTTTAATCTATCGATCCATGCAACGATGTTCAGATGTTGAAAATATCAAATTTAGGCTGGTTCCTCCCATGCAGTATTACCATCATAATCCTCTCTAGGTCTTGGATCACTGCCTAGATGTGATGATTAATTTTGAATTCTGCCAGCCATTTCAGGATGAATTGTTTTACTCTTTCCTTGAAAGAAATGAAACACTCCTCTCCACAATCCAATATCCTCACTTGGGCATGGAAAGAAAAGAAAAGACTTTATGAATGCTGATGGTTCTGATGAGGTCAGGAAAAAATATTCAAGAGATCAGACTCTTTAGCAATGAGAAACCTATTGTGTGTTTTAAGACAGCAACTCTAAATCTGAAAAACAATTTTTTATTGTCAGAAAAGTTCTGGGGAGCTTTACGGACTAATATTCTAACATGTCAGTGAAAACTGTTTCCCAACGGAGTGTGTAGCAGTCGCTAGAGAACAAATCCATTGAAAAGATGGAGCAGATACTTAAAAGCATTTACAAAACATTGTGTTCTCAAAAGGACAGTGTCAACACTTCCTTCACAGCTATGTCTCTGTCTGAAAACAGAATTACTACATTAGATTATATTTATCACAAACATATAAATAGTTTGGTCCCTTTTAGCAAAGTTATTTGGGAACTAGTTGCCAACAACTGAGCCTCCTCACAAGGGAAAAAAAAAAGAATTTGGCAATTTGAGCAAACAAACAAACTTCACATTAATTCATGTGGTGAAACTGAATTGCTGGGGTCTTTCCATATGGACAAGATCTCAACCAGATAAAATGCTACCTAGAGTCATAGGACACCCAAGAAAAAAATTCAACACTTCTCTTCAAGGTCATCAGAATTTGCCACTTCACAATTATTACGGGAAGTTAATAATTATTATTAAGGGAAACAGAAAGTTGAAGATGACTGAACTTCCTTTGATCAGGCGAAATTTGATTAACATCACAGATTTTCTTGTTTGTGATTGTCTGCCGTCTTCACACCATTAAGAGCAGGAAATCCTTACCATTTTTTTTCCCATGATATTGGTATGTAACCTGGAAAGAAGAATATCATGGCCTATCTTCACTACAAAATTAACTTATAGGACTCTACCAAATGATATAACAAAGATAAGCATAAATTGCATTTTTAGTTTTACATTAGGTTTAAATTTTGTTATGCTGAAAAGCATTGTCTCTTCCCTCCACTAGTAACCACAGAATCACCTGCAACTTTCTATCTAAGTACACTGGAATTTATGGGCTCTGTTCAGCCACAATCATTCTCTTTCTGAATAGGTTTATACTGCTGGAAAAAGCTCCCTGCATTATCCTTTGGCTCTGCAATCTGAATTAAATTCCACCATAAAGCAAAGCAAAGCAAATTTACTTATAAACTCTTTTCAATAGCACTGTTATTTCTTATTTCAGTCATTGAGGAAAATACTTTCCAGTCATTCTGGTTAGCTCATGATTTAAGTTGTGATATCAAGATTCAAACGATATAGACAGACCACTATTGTTACTGGTTGGATACCAATCCAAAAGAAAAAATATCTATGAAGAAAAAATTTACCTTTTACACCTTGCTGTCCAGACATCGTCAGTGGTAAAGTATGAGTAGAGTGAATAATTTGTGATCCTACAGCCTTGTTCACCTGCTGCGGGTGATGGTACAGTTTTGGAGCACTGGCAGTCTGCACAGGGATCTGACAAAGTTTACCAGTGTAATTAGGAGGGCACTGGCATTTATCTCTAGAACTGCACTGGCCTCCATTCATACATGGAAGGTGGCAAATAACTGAAATGAAAACAGAAAGAAAAACAGTGTTAATGACTTTAGCTTTAGTATTATCTGACCACGTATCACAGAATTTGAGGAGGAAAGGAATAGGGCTGGGGCCCTTTGTTCTTGCAACATCTGAGGAATGACTCTCCAGCTGACATGCACTTCTAATTGCCTTGTGGTAGAACCACTTCCCTTCCCCTCCTTGCGACCTCTGCCTGGTTCATATTTTCTCTCCATGACAAACACGGCAAACACATTCTTCCATTAGAAATCCCAGCTATTTTATTTCACTATGCTGTTAAGCAAGACGCTAAATTAATATGGTGCCGGGCTGCACCTCTTGTTCATACTTTGGTACAGGTATTCTTATTTAGTCAGCCTCCCATTCCTGAAAATCCTGGACTATCTACACTTCACTGAAAGACTGGGGAAAACTCGCCAGAGAGTAGACAGTACTGGAGTAAGTTTTCCATTTTCTCTGTAAGCCTTGGCTGTTCTCTGGAAAACTCTGTCTTACTGATTATCTAGATTTTTGCTTAACATATATCTCTCAGATAAAATAAGCTAATTTGTATAGCCATCCATGAAGAGAATAAAACTATTGAGCGATTCTTATCAAGTGACTTCAGAGACAAATTCCAAAGTATTGAAATATTTTAACTCCAATATAAAGACAAGGGTAATTACTTCAGTGCCAGCCAGTACTTGCACATTTACAGCAATATAAATTATCAGATGAATATGAAAAATGTCAACATTGAAAGAAAAATATTTCTTAACGCAGAGATACAAACAGTAATGGCATGGTTCAGCACTTTCTAAAAATATGATGTGCGACTTCATAATCAACCATAATCTAGCTGAGCTGTCAACATTTTCAAGAACAAAATGATGTAAAAACAACAGGAAAAATACCGTAAGTTTTTGTTCAAGACAAACTAGGGTCATTTTTTAAGAAATCAAAGATTTTTTTGAGAAACGGCATAGAGTATCCATTTGTCCGCTTTAAGATAAAGATTATGGCTGTAAAAATAAATAAAAATTTAAACTTCAGAGTAATTATAGCATTTTTCTGGATTGCTCAGTCTATATTGAATTATAATAAAAATGAGAAACTGTAGGTAATACAAGGTAATGAGGAACCCAGTGCGTATTGTTCCAAGGGGTGTAATCCCTGGACAATCACGGCCTACTGCTACTATTAATACCATAAAACATCGGTATTGAAAGGTGAACCTGTGTGTTGTATGTTACAAGAAGACAAAGTAGGACATTCGGCAGCCCAAGGAGTTCCAACCCAGCTGCGTAACTCATTTGGCCCAGGAAGAGCACTCAAGAAAGGGCGCAATCAGCCTGACTCATTGCACAGCACCCTTGCATTGTACTGACAGGGTCTGGAACAGCAATGTCTGATCGCCAGATAGGTCCACACACAAATGTGAACAGACAGAATTGTTTTTCCACTCCATTCTGCAAATGTATATTTAATATTTTTTCTCATCTTATCTCATATTTTCATTTCATATAAACTGACTGAAAGTACTTCAAGCTGTAACGCTGAGCTAAAAGGCCTGCTTGACTGCAGAAGACTGTCCATGCCAGCGCAGGACTCACTTTTTTGGGTCCCAATACTGCTGGGACTTTATCAGAGTGTATAAAAGACATCCTTACAGGACAGCTGTTACTTCAGGGCAAAATGAAGGATTTTTGAATAGTTGAATCATTACCGCTCGCTCTCTCTGGTACCGTAATCTTCCTGAGCAGCCACAAAGGAGCAGGTTTACTGCAATGGCAACATACAAAGAATTTTAGGTACTTGTAAAGATCTGCCTGAGCAAGGCTGAGAGCTAGGGTGGTTTTCCTGCAAAAGTAACAGCTCACAATGAAATCGTGCCAAGTAGCGTTAAGGGGACAGCAATTTGGTGTTTGAAAGAAGTACGGTGAAGCAAAGGCAAACAGAAATAATCTCACTGAATAATTACTTGAGTGCAAGAAGCCTATCCCATAGATTTTCTTCCCACCCTCTCCAGCTTTGAGGCAACAAGGTAACATGTAAAATACAGCTTTTAAACATTACAAATATACCCAATATGTCCACCAAAGTAAATTCATTTCTCCCAAGCTCCTATTCCTATAAAGCAGTTGGAATCTGGAAAGCCATGTATCACACAGGTATTTCTACATTACAGGGCGCTCTTCAGGCTTTCCTCTCCTGCAGGAGGCTGTTGGGTAAGGAACAGGCACATAAAAGGCTTTGCTTTCAAGCATACAAAAGCTTGTGCTAAAAATACTGGGAAGAAACATACCAATAGAAAAGAGTTCATTTGCAACCCCTTTCATAACTGTTTGCTGTGGATATTCACACAGATACCTTGTGCAAACAAATACCACAGAAAAGTCTACTATGAGGTAAATAATGAAGAATGTTTAATTTCTCAGTATTTACAGATAACAGGAAATAAAAATTCCAAGCTGCCCACATTAGCATGTGGTGCAAATCAGTCAGTCAACTGATTTATGTACAGATATCTTGATTTACATCACTTGAAGGTCTGTCCTAATATATAAGCAATGGAATTTGAATACAAATGCATTAAATCTTTTCCAAGAATATAAAATTCTGTAATTAAAAAAAAATTCTGAAATAGAAAACTGTAAGTTATACTCAGTCATGTAAAAAACAAATCAGATATGATCGTCGGGCTAAACTGAAAACTTGATAATCTCAAATGGCAAACATGGGAACTTTTTGTAAAAAAGAATGAAGTGTTGAAATAAAATACCTGATAATTTTAAATGGGCACAATAAGCACACACACACACACAAATTGCAATGTTTCCTCAGGTAGTTTATGGCCAGGAGAGAGGCCTACATTTGATTATGAGACTGGTGCTGGAAATCACGGGCACACAGCTTCACCAGAGCTGGAATTACACCCAGATCATTTGAGTTGAAGTGGGGGTAAGCCTCCAAAAGGGCAGAGGAAGGAAGCGGTACTTTTCTTCAACAAGGCTCTGGGAATCTCAGGTTAACAAAGACCAAAGTGCCCTGGGGAAAGGCCCACTTAAGATAGGAACAGGATATAAAGCCAGGGTATGTTTGAACAGCTCAACTTCTGATGAAAGTTTTTTGCTTTGTTTTGTTCTGTCATTGAGGTTAAAGAACTTAAACAAACAGAATGGCCGAATGCTGCCAGAGGCATAGGGGACACTCCTGACAAAACCCAGACCTGTGTGCTGGGAAAGACCATTAGAAGATGCTGGGTTTGCACATATGGTCACCACGGGCGCTGAGACAAGGGGTGCACTGGAGCCTGATTCTCACTGGGTCGATGCCATTTCCTTTGAAAAGGAAAAAGGAAATCACAGAATCACAGAACGTTAGG